CGCCCAACCGCCTGCCCGGGGAGCAGCTCACCCTCTGCAGCTCGGCCAGGGAGCGGGACATGCGGACCAGCAGCTTGTTGAAGCGCTCCAGCTCTTGCAGCAGCACCACCGATGTCGGGGTGATGCTCGCGCCCAGGTGCCTCCGGACCAGGTCCAAGTCGAAGACCTTGGGCATCTTGTTCTCTATGTCCTTGGCCACGTTGCCTATGTAATCCTCTCGGCTGATGCCGCTGCTCGATTCCCCTAAGGGCAGGACGCTTGTGAGGGAGAGCAAGGCGCCAGGCGAGGGGCGAGGGGGTGGACAAGGCGCCAGGTGAGGGGCGAGGGGGTGGGCAAGGTGGCAGCATGGCGGAAACTCGAGGGACCAGAGGCAGAGCCCTGCCTCACCCTGGGCCCTGGGCGCGCCCCTCCGGGCGGACTACCTGTCTGAGGCTGCAGCTCCAGCAGGTGAGACCACAGGTCCCGGGCGGCCTGCGTGTAATACCCGATCTCGGCGTTGGGGTGGAGACCGAACACCTCGGGCGTGTTGGCCAGCGGCAGGGCCTCGATGGCTTCTACAGCACAGACAGCGAGGTCGCCGCGTGCACCCTCCCTTTCGGACACGCAGACGCCCGCTGCTCCGCGCACGGTTCCAAGTACAATTCTACCCAGTCCGCCCGTCCAGCCCCACCTCCGTTTGTTATGAAATGGCTGTGACCTTCGCGGGGCCACATCCGCCGTCATTCAGGCCAGGAAATCAGAACCAACGCCGTCAGCTCCGAGGCCCACACCCACCCAGCAAGGAGGCCCCCCCACCCCCAGGCGAGGGGACAGAAGAGACAGAAGAGCCCTCACACCGAGAGAGCCAACACCGCTGAGATGTGGGCTCCCTGAGAAAAGACCTGGAGAGACTGCGTCTAGGACACCCACCCACGAAGCGCTCCTTGGGGTCGCCCGCGCCCGCGGGGATCTTGTAATCCACCTCCTTGTTGTGGAAGAAGTGGAAGGGCTGGAAGGTGTCGAAGATGAAGTCCCCCAGGTACTCGTCCATGTAGATGGTCAGGATGCGGCGGTCAAAGCTGTCGATGGCCCGGCCTCCGTACATGACCTGGGGTCCCGGGAGTGAGAACCGGCCGCTTTTGTATTAGAGAAACAGACAAAACCAAACCGCAGAGGCAGCAGCGCTTCCGCCTGGAAAGGTGACGCTGCCGTCTCTCCCACGAGCCTGCACAGCCCTGTCCCCAGATGGAGCTGGCGCCGCGGCATACCCGAGGCGAGGCGGGCACTGCCCACTCCCAGGGACAGCAGCCTCGGGCAGGGAGCGGAGCCGCGTGCGTCCAGGGCTCTTAGAGGACAGACCACTGGGAGTGAGCAGCAGGGTTCAGAGACCCAGGGCCCGGGCAGGAGGAGCAAGGTGAGTCCAGCTCCGCGATAGGTCAGGGCGCCAGGCCACAGCCCCACTCCTGCCCAGGAGGGTCCCCGAGGCCTCCTACCTCTCCAATCAGGTACTTGAGGCTGCCCCACGGGATCCGCGTGTCGCGCTGCTGGAAGGCTTTGGTCAGGTACGTGTTCAGAATCTCCATGCAGACCTGAGGGGGAGGGAGAGAGGGAGGGGGAGGCTCGCTGGCACGCTCCCGCTCCAGGGGACATGGGGAGGAGGGAGGACGTCCGAGGAAATGGGGCCGCGCACCTGGAAGTCGGACTCGTTGAAGTCGTAGTAGACGTTCCAGCCGATCTTGCCGAACTTCCTGCGCTCCTGCACCACGGCGTGGAAGAAGGCCAACACGTACACCAGCGGCTTGAACGCGGGGTGCGGGCAGTGCTCCAGCATCTCGTTCGAGATCTTGAAGTACGTGGCCCTCATGTTGAGCTTCAGCCCGTTGGGCGGCTCCGTGACGACCTGGCAGAGGAGACGGAGGGTGACGGACCCGCAGGCCTGCACGCAGCACGGGAGCGTGACGTGGAGGCGTCCTGGCTCCCCTCTCACTGCGTGGCCGGCGGGCCTCTCCCTGAGCAGCACCGTCTGTGTGAGGGGCCGGGAGCCCTGAGGAGCTGCAGGCTCTTCTCCAAGGCTCCGCCACGTGCTCAGCAGACGCCCCGAGAAGGCCCTGCAGCCCCTGACCGGGGCCTGGGATGGAAGGGGAGAGGAGCCACGTTTCCCTCTCGCTGCCCCAGAGACAGACGCAGAGCCTGGGCGCACTGTGCTCTGGAGAAGAAGTAAATGCGCATAAACCACGCGCAGCTTCTACACGGCCCCGAGGACGCGGGCGGGGGCCTGTCCCAGGGGCAGCCGTGCAGACGGACATGGGCTTTGGGCGCAAGTGGGAGAGGAGGCCTGGGGGCTGCACTGTGGCCGGGGCAGTGCTTCTCTGGGGAGGGAGGGAGGGAGGGGATTGGGAAGGGGTGTATGGAAGGTCCCAATCACATCCGATGTTTGTTTATAACAAACACACATGCACACACACATGTGCACACATGCACACGCGGTGGGTCCGTGGTGTCTGCCGACGCCTGACCTTCAGGGACTTCTGCAGGATGCCAATGGGGAAGCCCTGGGTGGGGTCGGTGGTGAGCCACAGGCGGAAGTCGGGGTGGGGCTTGGTGATCCGCTCCAGGGACTTCTCCAGATCCTTCAGCCACTTGACCAGTAGGTGGCAGTTCTGCAACATCAGCCATTGCCCGCGAGCCACCGCCGTCTCCAGCAGCTGCAGGGCCACCTGCCCACGGGGAGGAAAGGTTGGTGCCCGAGCCCCGCCAGCCTGTGCTCTCCCAGGACCCACCCTAGCCCCCAGAACCAGCAGAGGCAGAACCCCATCTCATGGGGTTCATCCCGGATCCTGTGCCCTGGGCAGGTCCCGCACAGAGCCCCTTGGCCCAGGAGATCCCACAGCCTCTGCTCTTGACCATGTATCAGCCCTGCCACGGGCGGTGACGCTATGACCTGCAGGGGAGCTGAGGGGGCGGAGGAGGGACTGTGAAAGGGCGCTAAAAAAAGCAGCACGCTATGACCACACGCTGGTCCTCTTGCAGCACGCATGGCCAGGCATACTGCCCTCGCCCTCACCCTCACCCTGGCCCTAACTATACCTCTAGAACTAACCCTAACCCTAATCCTAGCCCTGGCCATAGCCCTAACGCTAATACTAACCGTAGCCCTAGTCCTAACTCTAACCGTAATCCTAACCCTAATCCTAAACGAAGAACTAACCCTAATCCTAACCATAGCCCTAATCCTAACCCTAACCATAGCCCTAATCCTAACACTAATCGTAGCCCTAACCCTAACCCTACATGTAGCCATAACCCTAGTCCTAGCCCTAAACCTAATCCTAACTGTAGCCCTAACCCTAATCCTAACAGTAACCCGAGCCATAACTCTAACCATAGCCCTAACCCTAACCGTAGCCCTAACCCTAATTGTAAGCATAGCACAAACCCTAATCCTAACCGTAGCCCTAACCCTAACCCTGACCGTAGACATAACCCTAATCCTAACTGTAACCCTAAACCTAACCCTAACTGTAGCCCTAACCCTAATCCTAACAGTACCCCGAGCCATAACTCTAACCATAGCCCTAACCCTAACCGTAGCCCTAACCCTAATCGTAAGCATAGCACAAACCCTAATCCTAGCCGTAGCCCTAAACCTAACCCTAACTGTAGCCCTACCCCTAATCCTAACAGTACCCCGAGCCATAACTCTAACCGTAGCCCTAACCCTAACTCTAACCATAGCCCTGACCCTAAGTCTAACCCTAACTGTAGCCCTAACCCTAACCCTAACCCTAACCGTAGCCCTAACCCTAACCGTAGCCCTAACCCTAATCCTAACCGTAGCCTGAGCCCTAACCCTGACACTGTTCAAGCACAAGCTCTCAGCTTTGCAGGCCAGAAGCGGCTCGAGCTCATGTCTAGCGGTCCGGATATGTCTCCTCCTTATCAGAGGCCGGCCCCGCTCCTTCCCACCCCCAGTACCTTCTCCTGGCCTTGGCCCATGGCAAGGAACTTGAGGCGGTTTCCCCCAAAGCCAGTTTGCTCGGCCAACTTCATGAGGTCGCTGGCGGGGTCAGAGCCGGGGCTCAGGATGAACACGATGGGCGAGTTCGGGGTGCTCTGCTCAAAGATGGCCTCGAAGCTTATCATCGGGGGCTGCACGTACCTGGGCAGGGCCGCCCCCAGCGTTAGGGGGCTCCTGTCCGACCAGCGCAGTGTCCTCATTCCACCACCTGGGACGTCACCCCACCTCTCAGTGCCACCCGCCTCGTGTGAGGGCCCCATGTCTGCACCCCACTCATGGCGACTGTTTCCTTTTTAACAACAGTGCGTCTCGCACACTGTGTTTCGCTAGGAGAGCGCAGTCACGTGGCGATCGTTACACTCAAAGACGGCGCTCTGAGCTGCTCCCGCAGCTGGCCCACCTCGGCCGCCCGAGGGTGCGGGAGGGGGCCCCACACAGAGGCCTCTCCAGCACCCACTTGCACTTACTTCTCCCCCATGGTGACCGTCACATAGTCAGTCACAGCGCGGTACACCCGGTCCACGCGGAAGCAGCGCAGGATGAGCAGCTTCTGGAAGGGGGTGATGCTGCTGTCGTAGCCCAGGGGGAAGGGGGACTGCTCCAGCGCGTCCAGGTCATACCACTGGAAGGCAGAGGCCCCGTCACGTGGAGACCCGGGAGGGTCGCCACGTGGGCAGCACACGGACACAGCAGTGTGTGCAGCAGCCTGGCTCCCAACACGGGCTGGGAAGAACGTCCAGGCCTCCGCTCCTCCGAGCTGTCCTGTCCCTCCCCGAGCTGTGCCCTTCGGGGAGAGCAGGTCTGCGTCTGAGTCACCGCTGGTCCCAGTGCCCATCAAGCTGCTCAGTGGTATTGCTTGATTTCGGATGAGCCAGCATTCTACCCGGGGGTCAGAGGGCTCCGATTAGATCTGAATGGGCCCCTCCAGGAATATCTCTGTCCCCACAGGTAAGTCTGGAGACTGGCATGGGCAAAAGGAGGGAATGGGGTGGGGGACGGGGCGGCGGGGAAGGGAGTGGGGGGCTCACCTCCTGCCAGACAGCAGGGTGCTTCTCCACATCGTCGGGGAGACTCCCGAAGTCCTCTGAGAACAGCTCCGACAGGAGCATGATGTCCTCCCAGCCCTGGTCGGGCAGCCACGCACAGGGCTTCTTCCGCTTGCTCTTCTCCAGGGAGATGTTTCCTAATCCCCACGGGAGGAGAGTCAGCCGCTGCCGCCGCCGCCGCCTGCCCTGGGACCTCCCTCGCGGGGGGCAGCCCCCTGGGAAGAGGGGGCGCGGGCTCCCTGTGCCGCCCGTCAGGGCAGCTTCAGGCAGAGAGGGGCGGCTCCTGTCAGACCAGCAGGATTTCTGAAGCTGGAAAGGTCAACATGGAACCGAAACAGTCCCAACACGCGCGGCCGGAAGCGGCTCCAGGGCGGCCGGGGGGCCAGCTGTGAGGACGCACGGTCCGCGTGCGCATGCGCGAGTGGTCGAGGCCCACGGTACCTTTCAGGAAGAACTCGAGCTCCTCCTGGGGGACCCTCCCCTCCGCCTGCTCTATCTTGATCGTCATGTTGAAGGAGAAGAGTAACTTGTGCCTCTCAAACAGCCCTGAAGAAGACGAGATGGACACCAACTTTAACGTGGTTTCCAAACATACGCACCTGTGTTCTAGCAGCACCACTCACCACAGCTAAGACCTGGGAACGGCCTAGTGCCCAGCACAGGTGAGCGGGTTAGAAAGCGGTGGTCCATCTACACCATGGGACACTGCGCTGCTGTGAAAAAGAAGGAACGCTTACCACTTGCAACAGCATGGCTGGACCTGGAGAGCATTGTGCTGAGGGAAATAAGCCAGTCAGAGAAAGATAAATATCACGTGAGCTCACTCATATGTGGGATATAATGATCAGCATAAACTGATGAACAAAAATAGATCCAGAGACAGAGAAGCATCAAACAGACCATCCAACCTCAGAGGGAGGGGGGTTGGAGATCAACCAAAGGACTTGTAGCTGCATCTGAGCATAACCCATGGACACAGACGGGGGTGGGGCATGTGCTGGGGGTGGGAGCGGCTGGGGAGAGGCCAATTGGGGGGAAGGAGACGTAAGTAATACTTCCAACAATAAGGAATTTAAATACATTTTAAAAGTCATTTCTAAAATCGAGTTTCTGGCACACAGCGTGCTTCCACGTGACAAAGCCCCAGATGGGGCGGCTGCACTGAGCCCTCCCTGCGTGGGAAGTCCATGACCGAGTACAGGAGACACGGGCTCAATTCCATGTGACGCCTCGTGTGTGACTGTTCTACTACAGCCTGTGGAAGCAGACGGGGCCGGGGAGCTGCTGCCGGCGGGCTGGGAGGTGCGGTGGAGGAAGTACATCCCTCGCAGCTCGCAGCCTCTACTAAGGAGGATGCTACATCCCAGGTTCTTTTCTTAACAGAAGAAATGCGTTCCTGGGGGAAAGTGTCCAAGTCTGTCTGTGATCTGAACGGTGCTGGGCCCGTGTTAGAGGGCGGGCTGCCTACCCGAGCCCTCTAGGAACCGTTTTCCTGCCCCACGGCACGGCTGACTCTGCCCCTCCCACACCCGTGGACAGAGCAGCCCTGAGCCAGGACCGCCACAGGTGCTGTGTCCGGCGGCCCCCCATCACCGGAAGTCGGGGCAGGACGAGGACCCCGGCCGGCGGCATGCCCGGCACAGCTGGCCTGGCCTGAGGGGCGCTCACCTGTGCAGCCGTAGTTGTAGATGTTGAAGGTCAGCGTGTCCATGATGTTTTTGAGCCGCTTCATGAGGATGGAGTCAGGCAGCGACTTCTTCAGCGACAGCCCGAAGACGTCGAGGAAGGCGCTCAGGGAGTACTGGTACATGGTGGTCACCAGCGCCATCTCC